ATTCTCAGATGACTATTTGGGTTTTGTGAATAGAATAGAGTCTATTCACAGGTTAAAAGAGAAAATAGTTCTGTGAAGCAGTCCAATAATTAAGAATTTTGATTCTTTAATATTCTTGCCAAAGTATCACATAGTTCAGACACTAACATCACCCTAAAAGCACTCATTTACCTTTCCTGTTTATTTTTATTAATTTTTTTTTGGGGGGGGGATGTTCTATTTCAGCTCATTACCATGCAATGCTAGAAAACAGATTATTAAAATAGTCAATAAACTTAAAATTTACTCAAAAACCTGCATGTGTATAGCAGTTTTACTCACAATTGCCAAAATTTGGAAGCAACCATGCAACTAAAATGTCCTTTCAAAGGTGAAGGGATAAAGTGTGATAAATCCAGATAACAGAATATTATTTAGCACTAAGAAGAAATGAGCTATCAAGCCATAGGGCATGAGGAAACTTATATATGTACTAGAGGCCTGGTACATGCACCAGTGGGGTCACTCGGCCTGGCCTGCACCCTCTCACAATCTGGGAGCCCTCAGGGAATGTCGGATAGCTGATTTTGGCCCAATCCCCACAGGCCCAATCCAGACAGGAGGGAGCCCGATCCTGTGCATGAGCATCTATCCCCTGGTGGTCAGTGCATGTGTTAGCAACTGGTCGACCGGTCATTCGGTTGTTTAGGCTTTTATATATATAAATTACTAAGTGAAAAGTCCATCTGAATATGCTACATACCATATAATTCCAACTAAATAACATCATGGGAAAGATAAAACTATGAAGACAGTAAAAAGATCAGTGGTTGCCAGGAGCTGACAGTAGGGAGAAATGAATAGGTGTCGCACAGAAGACTTTAGAGCAGTGAAAACACTGTATGGTACTATAATGGAAGATACATGTCATTATACATTTGTCCAAACCCATAGAATATACACCAGAATGAACTTTAGTGTAATCTGTGGGTTTGGGGTGATCATTATGTGTCAGTGAAGGTTCACCAACTGTAACAAATGTACCAGTCTGGTGGGAGATGTTGATAATGGGAAGACTGTGTATGTGTGGAGGAGAAGGGGTATATAGGAAATCTCTGTACCTTCCTCTCAACTTTGCTTTGAAGCTAAAACTGCTCTAAGTAAGTCTTTTTAAAAAATCATACGGCCCTGACCAGTTTGGCTCAGTGGATAGAGCGTCGGCCTGCGGACTGAAGGGTCCCAGGTTCGATTCCAGTAAAGAGCATGTACCTTGGTTGCGGACGCATCCCCAGTAGCGGGTGTGCAGGAGGCAGGTGATCGATGTTTGTCTCTCATTGATGTTTCTAACTCTCTATCACTCTCCCTTCCTCTCTGTAAAAAATCAATAAAAATATTTAAAAATAAATCATACGGATCAGAGGTTGAACTTATAGCATAATCTATGTTCACAGTCTCATACATTTCAAATCAAAATAAAGTAGTCTAATAGGTTATATAAAACCAGAGGCCAGGTGCATGAATTCATGCAATCGGGGGTGGGGGGTGCCTCAGCCTGGCCTGCACCCTCTTGCAGTCCGGGAACCCTCGGGGGATGTCTGACTGATGGCTTAGGCCCACTCCCCTGAGCAGTCAGACATCCGTAGCACTGCCGCGGAAGCAGGAGAGGCTCCCACAACCGCCACTGTGCTTGCCAGCCGTGAGCCCGGCTCAGGGCTTCTAGCTGAGCAGCATTCCCCCTGTGGGAGTGCCCTGACCACCAGGGGGCTGCTCCTGAATTGAGCATCTGACCCCCGATGGTCAGTGTGCATCATAGCAACCAGTCATTCCCCATTGGTCAATTTGCATATTAGCCTTTTATTATATAAGATCTCAGCTATCATTTATATTCATATTTAAAATGTCCATGTGAATGAACTTGAAATGTCTGGCTACACTCTTAGTTTTAAGAAGCAGAGGCACTGCCCTAACCGGTTTGGCTCAGTGGATAGAGCGTCGGCCTGCAGACTGAAGGGTCCCAGGTTCGATTCTGGTCAAGGCATGTACCTTGGTTGCAGGCACATCCCCAGTAGGGGGTGTTCAGGAGGCAGCTGATCGATGTTTCTCTCTCATCAATGTTTCTAACTCTCTATCCCTCTCCCTTCCTCTCTGTAAAAAAATCAATAAAATATATTTAAAAAAAAAAAAAAAAAGCAGAGGCACAAAACCCAGAAACTCAAAATAAAAATATATAAACAAATAAAATAGAAGCATAGAGCCTGCCAGATCAAGGTTAAACTGTTCTACTCACACTATATATGAGAAATCAGTATCACAGTTAGGCTACATTCAAGACACAGCCTTATTCAGTGTGTTTGAATATACGGTATAAGTATGCACGTATGCAAAATTCATGGTAATCGAAAGGTTTCCATAGCAATAGAAATTAAAATCTCCCATCTCTGATTGTTACAAAAAAAATAATCTGAAGGCAGTAAGACAACCAGTTCAATTAACTTTTACAAAACACCTACTGTGTGGGAAAGACTGTGCTAAATGCTGAGTAGTGACACTATATCCCATGAAGGGGCAAAAGGAGGAAGGGGTCGCTGTACCAACACTTGGAATAGATGTTTGCTTATTGCAAAGTACTCCTTTATTATGGGACATTGGGGTGGGGACAAGGTTCTGCTGACCCAAGTACTATAAAAATCGTTTCTCATAAAACTAATGTTGCACAAAATTCAGTTTTTAATGATCATTGTCTACCAGCAGCTTACAATCAAGAGCCAGCTCAAATAGGTGTAAGAAAATCAGAGACAATATGAAACACTTATCCTAATGACCATCTTGGTTTGAATATCAGAATGTAGTAGGGAGTGGGGATAGAGTATAAATAAATCAGCACTACAGGGAAGTTAGATAATGGGGACAAAGTGTTAATATGTTAAAGATTTTTTTAATTAAGAACTATTTCTCCCCAACCTTGCTTAGTCTTGAGTGGATCATCTTATTCAACTGGAGCCACAGAATAAAGATTATTTTGAGGAGCAACCAAAAATTGTGGGCCTACATGAGGCTCAAAGGGTGATTGTTGCTCCCTTTTTCTGACAGTTAAGTGTTAAGAGAATTGTAAAATGATTTTATACTGCATATCCATCGAGGTCTACATCTTTTTTTTTTTCACTTGTGGACATTTTAATGAACTTCTCTCCATGTAGCTTCAAGCTACCCGGACACAGGCCTCACCAACACCCTTAATCTTCTCTTCAGCTCTTCTGCTAAAGAATTTAGCCTTCACAATGACAGGCTGCTTTGGGAGCTTTCCCTTCTCCAGAACTTTGAAGTAGCCCAATCGCACTACATCAATGTTAGGAGCAGCTCCAGTCTTGTTTTTGGCATTTACCGAGTTTGCTCACTGACCAAGGTCCATAGTTTATCTAGCTTGACAGTTGGGCAGAAACTCTAGTTCCTCTCTAAGTGGTAATGCTTCATACCAAGTTTCCCAAAGTAGCCTGGGTGATATTTGTCGAAGTTGATCCCGTGGTGATGCAAGCCACCAGCATTACCTCGGCCCCCGGGGGCTTCCTGTGCTTGCCGGTGCAGCTCTGGCTACGGCTCATGTAGCTCTGAAGTTCCCAGGTCTTCCTCAGTCTGGATGGCATGTTGATAGCCGAGAGGCCAGGGGGAGGCTCTTTCAAAAGTCTCGAGGTCTACATCTTGAGCAGAAATGTTTATTTTCACATAAGGAACCTAAAGGTGATAAAGTGGTCTTACACAGTGGAGATCAGGTGACTTTCCATGGCAACTGTGAAGATGGCCATGCATCTTCATGCAATGTAAAGGACCAGAGAGCACTCCATGGCAAACAGGCTACCAAGCCATGCTCTAGAGCTACTGTCCAAAGGGTAGCTTCAAGCCACATGTGACTATCTAAATTTAACCAACTTTAAATAGCACTAAAGAAAAGTCGTCTATTGGCACCAATTATACCAGGTATTCTACCCTTAAGTGAAAAATCAGCAACAGGATATGATTTATTATAAGACTTATTACAGTTCAAAAAATTCAATTATAGAATCTAGATTGGCGTATGAATGTTCATTTTATAATTGTCTGAAAATTTTCATAACACAATGTTGGAAAAAATGTCTTCTAATAAAATCAATTACACTAGACAAATCTCAAGTACTCAGTAGCCACATGTAGTAGCTAGTGGCCATTAATGTACTGCACAGTCACAGAATATTTCCATAATCTCAAAGAAGTTTACTGGACAGAGCTGCTCTCGTCTAGCTGCTCAGGAGCCCAGGCAAGACTGCTGAGACTAATTCTTCACCTTAAGGTCAGGCCCGACTGGTCCCTGGGGCAGGTGGTTCATACTAACAGGACTACACATTTTTAAAGAGTAACAGAATACTAGGGCATGGTTACTGACAGGAGAAGAAATGAAAGGTCAAGTCTAATAGGCAACGGTTGAAGAGAACTAGGAAATAGGAGTGGGACCTGTGCTCATTGGGAGTTAAAATATAAATATATATAGGTACACATTTAAGTCTAAATTTTTAATAATTTTTAAGCTAAGAACTCATTTAGTTTCCACAGAGATACAAAATATGTATTTGTGAAATAAGGAATAAGAGCATAATACAAGATAACTTGGGATACTGACTTTACCTTTGTAATCCTTGAGGAAATCACTGTTTTTACCAAAAACATTTACATGTGAATAATCCCTAAGAATCTGTGATAAACGTAAACAAACAAATAAAAAAAAACCTCAGAGCCTTCTGTGAACAACCTCTATAATTACCAAAACCTTAAATCCCATCAGGTATGGAAGAAATAAGGGAAGATCTACAATTGCCTTTATCTTTTTTTTTTTTTTTTTTTTTTAATTTTTTGCCTATAATGTGCCTGATACCTTTATTCTGGATACATATTCCTACCTGAAAGAATTTCTGCCAACACATGTGCCTCCTACAACAATTTTTATTATCTTTAAATGGCAAGAGACACGGTCTCCTGAAAGAAAGCACTCTCCATCCAGGTTTGGTAAGTTTTATTGAAGCAAAATTTCAACAAAAGGTGGCTTTTATTTACAGAATTCAATGCGTGTGGGGACTGTCCAACCCTCTTGGACACAAGTAAAAATAAGCATTAAGCCTGTTTATGTATTTTCTTATTTTCAGTTTGCATTAAAAAAAAATCTGTTTGCTTCACATTCATAGAAATCCCAATATTATAAATGACAAATAAACCCTCCCTTACTCATCCCTTAATTAAATATAAAAATAGCTACAAAAAGCATAATTCAGATAGGTTTAATCTTGAAATGTAATCCAATAAGGCTAAAAACTAAACATTTCAGGTCCTGTACCAAATAGTAAAAAACTCGAAGGCCTTCAGGATCCCTAAAATTGAAAGAGATAAAAGTTACTTTTTTGTTCCTAAAAGGCAACAACATAATTCTATAAATTAATTCCTAAAACAAAACAATAATCTAAAACAAATTAAAGGAATGCATCTTTTCTGTAAGAGAAAAAATAAAAAATTTTCTTTACCAGTATTTCATATTTAAAGTGTTTATTTTCTTATAATAGCAATGCATCACAAAAATGTATAAAGCAGATAAAATTATAAAAATAGAAAAAATAATGTTCAAAATACTATATAATGTCACTTTTCACAGAATAACTATAAACATTTTGGTGTTTCTCTATTTTCTTTACTAATTAAAATAATCCCTGTGCCCTTTTTTATTGTTGTTAATCCTCACCTGAGGATATTTTTCCATTGATTTTTAGAGAGTGGAAGGATGGGGAGAGACAGAGAGAAACATGGATGTGAGAGAGAGACGCCCACACATGCCTGACCAAGGCCAGGGATTAAGCCTGCAACCAAGGTATGTGTCCTCGATCAGAATCAAACCCTGTACCCTCAGTCCATAGGCCAAAGCTCTATCCAATGAGCTAAACAAGCTAGGGAAAATTATTCCCTGGGCCCTTTTTTAAGGTAAGTTCGCCTTTTTTTTTTTTTTTTTTTTTTTTAATATATTTTATTGATTTTTTTACAGAGAGGAAGGGAGAGGAATAGAGAGTTAGAAACATCGAAGAGAGAGAAACATCGATCAGCTGCCTTCTGCACAGCCCCTACTGGGGATGTTGCTGCAAGCAAGGTACATGCCCTTGACCGGAATCGAACCTGGGACCCTTCAGTCCGCAGGCCGACGCTCTATCCACTGAGCCAAACCGGCTAGGGCTCCCTGGGCCCTTTTTAACATTACTTTCCCCATTACATTAAAAAGAACTCACAAATAATTTTTAATCAATTTAACAGTTCTCTCCTTATTAGACATTTGGACATTTTTCCAATTATAAATAAGGGTTCAATGACCATCTTTATGAATAATAAAGCTTTTTCATTATCCTATATAAAACCCTAATATGCAAATTGACCAAATGGCGGAACAACCGGTCGCTATGATGCGCACTGACCACCAGGGGGCAGACACTCAATGCAGAAGCTGCGCCCTGGTGGTCAGTGCACTCCACTGCAGGTGGGCAGTAAGGAGCAAGGGGTCCTGGACTGCAAGAGTCCCAGACTGAAAGAGGGATGTCTGACTGCCGGCTTAGGCCCAATCCCCATGGGAAGTGGGCCTAAGCCGGCAGACAGACATCCCCCGAGGGGGTCCCTGACTGTGAGAGGGTGCAGGCCACGGCTGAGGGACCACTCCCCACCCCCGCCACCGACTGCATGAATTTCATGCACTGAGCTTCTAGTTTGAGAATATTTTCGCAGACTAGACACTCAGAAATGAAATTACTACAGTGAAGATGGGTGAAAATTTAACAAAATATTGATGGCTTTTGTAGCAAATTATCAAATTGCTTTCTAAAAAACATGTACCAACTTATAATCCCAGTAGGGTATGAATGCCATACCCTCACCAACTATGGGAAAATAAATTTGATAATTTAAAAGTATCTGGTCAGTCTTTATGAACATAGCCTTTTATACCCAATAGTAATTAGGCATTCATTCCTCTCTCCTCTAATAAATATTCATAAAGTCTCTATTATGTGCCAGGCACTGTGCTAATTTTGGAAATACACAAGGTTCTCATGGAGTTTACATACAAACCAGTAAAGCAAACAATTAAGTTATTACAATTTAGAATGATAGGGAAAAAAGGACACCAGGAGGACATTTTAAAGGTAAAGGGTGAAAAAAATAAAATTAAATTAAAGGTAAAGAGTGGAAAGAAATAAATGCAAAGGGATTTTTCAGGCAAAAACAGGCAGGGAAACACAACTTGGGAAGACATACCTAGCTAAAGCCATTAAGCTATACTGGATTTTTTTTTTATTCCTCTGAAGACTAAATCCAAGGAGGAGAATGATGTGATGTGGAGCGAAGGAGGCTGATATGCAATAACAATTTCTTTTAAATTTTGTGAGTGTCCAGATTTTTTTACAAAGTAGGTAATAAAATTTGGGCATTATTATTCATAGTTATCAGATTAAGATTTTTTTGTGTAAATCAATAAATACACTGCTACCTTCTTTGACAGCAAGTCTTTAATGACATAGAAATCAGAATTTCATCTGTATAATAAACAGACAGGGTGCCAATGAAATAATCTTAGCAAACTCGCTATAGTTCTAAAATGAACCTCTCCAATAAATGTTATCCATTAGTGAAAATGCTGTAACATACTCACTTTGACTGATTTACATCAATAAGAGAACCTATTTTTGATGTAGTAAAAGAAATGTGCTCATCTCCAATTACAATTTCAAGCTCCTGAAGAAAACAAAGAAATATAATTAAATGTAGAAATCCATCCCAGAGATATCTATATTCTTGATACTAAGGGGGTCCCAATTTTAGCTGATGGTTTTCTAACAATAATAGAGAAGGGCAGGTGGGACATAATCTGTTAGGCATAAACTGTGTCTATGAAATAAAACAATAAGAACTTCAACACCTGCACAGGAGTCCCCCAGTATTATGACTACCAAAATTACTCTGCAGAGATCTAAAAAATATACTAAAAAATGAATGACATACTTAAAAGTGACACACAATTATTTCTTACATCAAGTAAACATTAAAGGCATCACTTTGAAGCACAATGTTGTAAAAATAATACGGTTTTACGCTTACTTATAATAAATAAAAACACATTTACCCTTTTCACCAGGCTCTAAAAATAAAATGCATAATATTAATAATAGTGCTATACTTTAATATTATCAGTAATCTCTAAAATACGCTTATCAAATAGGCTTTATTAGACTACTTTTACAACTATGAAATCCAAGACTCAGAAGTCATAGGAAAAATCTTGTTTATAAACTGACTAGAGGCCCGATGCACGGAATTCGTGCACGAGTAGGCTCCCGAGGCCTGGCCGGCGATCAGGGCCGATCTGTGGGGTAACCAGTGGGGTGATGGGGGCCCCCACTGGCACCTGCTTTGGCCGACCTGGTGCTGCCTGCTCGCTGGCTCCACCCCCCGCCACCACTGCCTGTCACCTCCCTCTGCAGGGCGACCGGCAGGGAGATTTGGGGCCCCTGCTGGAACCTGCCTTGGCTGGCCTGGGGCCTGCAGGTTGGAGGCAGCTCCTGCATTGAGCATCTGCCCCCTGGTGGTCAGTGTGCATCATAGTGACCGGTTGTTCCACTGGTCATTCCACCATTTGGTCGATTTGCATATTAGGCTTTTATTATATAGGATATTTGAATCGTGAACTGTAAGACTGAAAGATTGATACACTTTGACTTCACAAAACATCAAAATTAAAAACTACTAAATTAAACATAACATAATGTAGATGTTCCCAGTGTGCCATAATTATTGTATAATATTTTTTCTATATTTTATCTGCAAACCTAAAACCAACAAATAAGAGACTATATCTGTGGTCATTTTTCAAGTTAAATAACAGATGCCGTTGAAGGCTGATCAGAAGACTTAAAGACCGACAGACAATTTCTGAAGCATGTCTAATCCTCCCCAATGACCAAAACACAAGACCACATCCTCAAGTGGGTAGATAAACTAGATTCTCCCTGCATATAAAAGAGATATACAGTTTACTACTTATTGTTTCTGTTTTTTGTACATATGCACATATGCATAAAACAGATCTAAATTTACTTTTTAAAAGTGTTTGCAATGCATAAATACTATTAACTATTATGTTTGCTTCCTAAATAATGTTTCTTTAAATAGAAGAGTTAAATTACTACTACAGAGGGTCAACATCTGTTAAGATTTCTCCACATTTTCTTCTAGTCGAAGGTATTACAAACAAAAGTGAAATTAAATGTTTCTTCCTCCAAGGGCCATTATCTCTTTTCTCCAAGTGTTGAAAAGCCCAATTTAGGAATTAAACTATCTTTCTACTGAGTGAAATCAGCCTTCAGAACTCTTCAGAAGCCCTCTGACATACATCAATTGCTCTGAAGAGAGTATGAGAGGCAAAGGCAGTGGTCAGCTTGAACAAAGAAACCTATCAAATCCCTCTCTGGGGCAAGAGATGAAAATAAGAGTTTTCAGAGTTACAAAGGAAATGTTATATAGTCAATGAAAAACTTAAATCCCAAATTTAACAAATACCTATACTTATTCCTAAAAAAAAGTAATTAACATGTAATAGAAATTACTCACAACAGTGTGAAAACATCCTAGGGGTGGCTACAGAAGACTGATCAGAAAGATGTCTAAATTTAGAGCTATATATCAACTCCTTTACTACTAGGAGGTAGCACAGAAAATGAGGAAAAGAAAAAGAAAATTTACCAGTTGTAAAAATAGTCTAAAATAAAAAACTAAGGAATCAATGAGTGGCTACTATAAATAAATAAGGAGAAACATAACAATGATATTATCAATTTTAATATTTATGCATTTAAGGAATCATTATATACAAACCTGTCGGCCAACCCTGTCAGGGGGAGGCCACAAAGCATCATCTTCTTTTGTAATTTCGCTGTCATCAATAATTCTCTTCAGTTCTTCCATTACACTCTTGTGTACATAAGCCTGAAATAAGTTGCAGTAAAATTTCATGATGCCTCTCTATTTCTTCCCATGACTCAAAAGGAAATGATAAAATGGAGTTACAAACCTTAACTATTGAAAGAGAATATCAAAGAAAAATTTAATTCTGATTCCAAAGTATAACATCAGCTAGAATCATTCATCCTTCTTATCATGTTTCTTCACTCTCTTGCCCTTTCTTTTCACTCTTCACATCACTCAGCCCCTTTTAAAACCTGTATTCTGGCCGTAGCCGGTTTGGCTCAGTGAATGGAGCGTCGGCCTGTGGACTGAAGGGTCCCGGGTTCGATTCCGGTCAGGGGCATGTACTTTGGTTGTGGGCACATCTCCAGTGGGGAATGTGCAGGAGGCAGCTGATCGATGTTTCTCTCTCATCGATGTTTCTAACTCTCTATCTCTCTCCCTTCCTCTCTGTAAACAATCAATAAAATATAAAAAAAAAAAAAAAAAAAAAAAAAAAAAAAAAAAAAAACCTGTATTCTGTCCTGGAAATATGGGACTCAAATCTCTCCAAGTGGTTAATGGTGACAACAAAAAAATCTATGAGTTGAACAGAGACAAAGTACACATCATAGTGACTGAACTTTTTCTTATCCCTAACTTTTAAGCCTTTCATTTAAAATTCTTAGTGTGCTTAAATCATGATTATCATTTTAAATAGTGAGTAAAAAGACAAATTAATTATAAAATGAATTAAATGATATGTTCAAATGTGGGACTACAGCTTAATGTATTCAGATTGCTTCTTTTATTGTTACAGATGCTACAATTATATCTAATTTAAGCAGAATTCCGTTTCAACACATAAATTGGCTTCTTCTTTACAATACAGCCTTATATATACTTTTGTAAATTCAACAGACATAAGGAAAATGGCTAACTGTAACAATTAGACATTCCAAAAGAACTTACCTCTTTTCTGATCATGACATCATTTTTGTAATTGCTATTGTTGGCATATCTAAGCTTTCCTGTGGGGAGTGGAAAAAAATTCAATCTATAACAGCAAAAACTGCTAAAAAAAAAAATAAAAAATAAAGGAACGACACCGTAAGCAATTTTGAAGATAAACACCACTTTATACTACTACTTTTATTAATATTTCTTCCATCCTAGCATAAGACCAATGCTAGAATGTAGACATTCAAAAATTGCTGGTAAGTTCGCTGCAGTTGAAGCTAGTCAATTTTTTAAATACTCCATGCCTTTGATGTAATTTTTAAATACCCAATATAATTTTTTAAATATTCAATATAATTTTTAATATTTGATGTTTTCAATATAATGGGAAGGCCATTTTAGGGCCCATTTTCTTAAGCTATGTCTTGATCTAGACATAGACAAAGAAACAAACATTTATTTTAGTTTATTTTTATGTCTGTATTGGTGCTGATTAGCCCAGAGCATTTAATCTAACCAGTAAAACAACCTTAAAAGGTAGGTTTTATTCTCCCACATACTCCTAGTTGAGTAACTTGCTTAGGGCTACACAAGATTCAATCTAGTTCTACCTTCTTCTAAAACTCATGCTTTCCCCATTACTCCAAAATGTTCTTTTAATCATTTTCCTTCAAATTAATGTATGCATAATGACAATGTTAATATTTTAGAATTGTGATTAGGAAGCACACAAACTATGTGCTGCTCCTCGATAAAAGTCCGTCAGTTTGTTAACTGATCTATATTTAATTTTAATCCATCATGACTTGTACTCCCTGATGCATGCTTCTCCTCATGGCTAGTCAGTTACCCAGGTAAACATGTAATGTGGTCCTGATCCTTTAAAATGAAAGGTAAAGCCTGGCAGGTGCCGCTCAGTGGTTGAGCGTGGACCTATGAACTAGGGCAGTGGTTGGCAAACTGGGCTCCCGAGCCACATGTGGCTCTTTGGCCCCTTGAGTGTGGCTCTTCCACAAAATACCATGTGTGGGCACGCACATACAGTGCGATTGAAACTTCGTGGCCCATGTGCAGAAGTTGGTTTTCAGCTTGGGCGAGTCTATTTTGAAGAAGTGGCGTTAGAAGAAGTGGGGAGTGTGGGTCCGTCGGGGAACCGGAGACACCCGAAGGCGGGCTGCGGGACACCAGCGCCGGGGAGGCGCACGCGATTCATGCAGGAGTTGAGTGAGACTGGCTACAAGACGAGTGTGGATGGGAGAGTTGGAAGGGGTCGACCTCAGCTCTCAATCAGATTGAGGACGTTTTCAGCAAAGGCCAGCTTAGGAGCACCCTAATTAAGTTAATAACAATGTACCTACCTATGTAGTTTAAGTTTAAAAAATCTGGCTCTCAAAAGAAATTTCAATCATTGCACTGTTGATATTTGGCTCTGTTGACTAAGGAGTTTGCTGACCACTGACCTAGGTAGGAGGTCATGGTTGGATACCCTGTCAGGGCACCTGCCCAGGTTCGGCTGATCCCCAGTAGGGGGCAGTGCAGGAGGCAGCCAATCAATGATGATTCTCTCATCATTGATGTTTCTATCTCTCTTCTTCTCCCTTCCTCTCTGAAATCAATAAAAATATATTTAATAAATAAATAAAAATAAAATACAGTGATCGGTACAATTAAAATAAAATGCCAGATAAACCTAATGAGGTGAGCCCCGCAGGAATCACTGGTTTGTGACTCACTCTTTTTGATGGAAGTGTACAGATGTTGTGGTGGTAGATAAATAGATGAGAACCACTATTCTGGCATGAAATTTCCCAAATAACATTAGACTACTTAATTTATGTGACTGACTAAAAGAGATATGGACAAGCTGAAAACTACTCATAGGCAAAGGCACTGAAAACAGTATCACATAAAAAAAGGATCGAGAATTCATATAAATTCTCCTTTGCTAAATGTAGAAGAAACATAGGGAGAATAAGGTGATTACAGTTTCTAAATCATTGCAGGGTTGTCCTTACCATGAGTTCTGCCTAAAGTGCCTGACACTCTTCCCCTTTCCTAATATGTGATCCTGCCCTAATTTGTCTTTCATACCCTCACGGAACTTTGTCCAAAACATGAGCACTTAACATCCATACTAATTTATGGCCTGAGTCATGTCTGTCCCGCCCACCAAGGCATAATTCCTAGCGGGAAATGAAAGAGTCTTGTTCATTACTGTACCCTCATTTTTGTATTTACATGTTGCCCAACACATAATGGGCATTCCAAACAGAGAAGTCTATGCAGCTGGACTGTCCTTGTTGCAAGAAGAAGGGTTCAATATACAATAACACTCTCTAAAAAGAATCAGAGACGTCAAAAGGTAAGATGTGCTGCATGCCTTATGGGCATAGGCAGTCTTACCTCGCCCTTTGCTCAAGCTGCCCTGTCTCCGCCCCCACCCCCACCCCCCCGCGCCTCGCTCCCTACCCCCCGCCCCGCTTTCCCCGCCTCCCCCACCCCCCCACCCCCGCAGAAGCTAAGAAAACACCTATTTCAAGAGTCATTTCAGCTGTCACCTTCTCTGGGAAGCTTTCCTTACTCCTTCTGGTGGAACTAACCACTCCCCTCTTTTGCACTCTGAATGCATCCTATGTGAAACACCCCAAAAACACGTCATCACGCTTATCTTTCCACATGCTGGGCTCCTCCCCTTCAGGGCGGGGCTTATTCTTTTTTTCTAGACACGCACTCATGGCGCCGGAATGAATAAGATGAATGAATGGGTCGCCCACAGATTATTAGCCCACAGAGCATCTGAAGCATCCACGGGACCACCGCACGCCGGGGATGTCTTACAAATGCTCACGCATGAGGTGGACAAACCAGATGCCCCGGAGGCCCTTTCCGGCGAGCGGACGCCGGATGCCCATTACCGAAGGTTCAACTGCGGGTCGCATCGGCCGGGACTGGCCTGTCCGATGAGTTCACACCGATTAATTCTCTTATCTCAAAACCTATGTATGCCTCCTGTACTCCCCAGCTCCTACGACACGGGCCCAGCCCCCGTGTCGCTCGCACACCCGCCCCGCCCCGCCCCGCCTCCCCGCGGGCTCCCCGCCCGCTTCCCGGGCCGGCGCCGCGCAGGGGGCCGCTCGTCCGCTCGTCCGCTCACCGTCCGGCCGGAACTCGAACTCCAGAAACTCGTGTCCGAACTTGCCCTTGTGCCCTACATAGTAGCGCAGGTAGAAATCGCTGGCCATAGCCATTTTCCTCGCAGAAAGCCCGCCGTAGCCTCGGCCAACGAGCCGCCGGGCGCCTGGCAGTGACGTCAGCGCCCAGGATAGTGCGTCACTGCGGGCGCGCCTCGCTGGCCTCCCGGTCCGGCTGCCGTAGCGGGAGGGACCTGACCGCACCGGAGCGGGTAGCTCAGCTTCGCGTTAGTGCGGACAGTCATGTTATTTTTAAAATTACGTAAATCACATTATACTGGCCAAAGCACAGAAGGGTGAGCCTCTGACGGCATTTTTATGGGCCGGGAACGGAGGATCGCACGTCGCATTTCCTTGTCGGGTCCTGGGGCGTTTTGTGAGTGGGGCGTGGCCTTTCCCCGTTAACTGGTGGGTAAAGCTAAAGCCCGAAATCGGATTGTAAGGCCTGGATACGACCCCTTTCCAGCTGGATTTCTACCTAAAACAGGGCTCTCCCTTTGGACAACGCGAGTCATCGGGCAACTTGAAGCCTATAAATAATAGAGACAAAGAATCCCCAAATCGCAGCAGTTAGGGGTGATCAGGCAGGCAGGCAGGTCTCAAACACAGGGTCTGAAATTTTGAAAGCACGTTGAAACTAAAAATCCCGACAGTCATAGTATGAAAACAGTTCCTTTCAATAGGAAAACTCCATTCAGTCAGGGCTCATCTTTAGCGGCCTGGGGAGCTGTGGCAGTGACTTAGTGTGGGGTGGGCTTTGAAGGGTGGGGGAAGACAAGATGAACTTTACAATCTATATTTCAAACAGCACACAGAGTAATCCTGTCTATTGATGACCTTTGACTTTCAGAAGGATTTAGTAAAATGAGTGACAGAAGACCTGAGATTCATTCCCAGCACTTCCCTCTACCTAACCTCGGTTAAGTCACTGTCTCTAAGCCTGTTTGTCCATAAACCAAATGATTACACTGCAGTCGAAGTTGCCAAGCTCATAGAACTAGTGAGAGGATCAAATAAGATGATGGAAAATAAGGTCTCAATTTAAACGGCATATCTTCAGGGAGCTCCCCATTTTATATTCCCCTCTATCCTATTTGTTTCTTTAAAAAATGTTTTTATTGATTTCAGAGAGAGGAAGAGGGAAACATCAATGGGAATCGGCTTCCTCCTGCACACCTGAGCTGGTAACCCAGGCCTGTGACCTGCCCAGAATAGAACTGGTGACCTCAGGTGCATGGGCCAATGCTCAACCAACTGAGCCACACAGGCTGAGCCTCTGTTTCTTCGTAGCACTTACCACAGTGTGTAATTCAGGGGTCCTCAAACTTTTTAAACAGGGGGCCAGTTCACTGTCCCTCAGACCGTTGGAGGGCCGGACTATAGTTTAAAAAAAAACTATGAACAAATTCCTATGCACACTGCACATATCTTATTTTGAAGTGAAGAAACAAAACGGGAACAAATACAATATTTGTATTTGCATGTGGCCCGCGGGCCGTAGTTTGAGGACCCCCTGGTGTAATTTAAGAATTCTCACACAAATATGTATATAATGTATCTTAATTTCCAGACTGTAATCAAAAGCTCTCTATTTCTTTTATTCATCACCTAGCACCATGTTTTAGCATTGTTGTCCTTAACACTCAACTTAAAATATTTACATATATTTGAATGATTAAAGAAATCTTGTGTAAATTTGACTTAAATGAAGAACCTAGAAGCAATGATGAGTTTCCATAAGACTTGATTATTTAGTACCAAGCCACTCAACCTTCCTTCTCTCTACTGCCACTTAACTTAAATTCTGACTAGTCATTGTGGTATTCCTACATATGCAAGAATCATTATTTAGTTTGATGATTCATCATGACTCCATCAGGATTCTCACTTCTACAAAGTTGTCGACAGCCAGTCATCTTTCCTACACCAGCCTTAGATGTCCTTTCCAGAGTACCCAGAGTGAGCATTCTTTAAAATCACAGATCACATGTTCAAGTGTTATCATCGGGATGTTTTCATTATTTTGCAGTAGTAGGAGATTACTATCATCATCCAGAAGTTCACACAAAAATGATGACTTCAACATTTTAGTCATGTGGTAATTGACCACATGTCCTATATCAGCATGACTGATGACCAAGGTTTTCTTCTTGGCTACAGTAGATTTTAAAAGAAAAAGGTAAGAAAGATTCTAGAATAGGAAGGGGAAAGAAAGGAAATTAACATTTATTGAGCATACATTATATGCCAGATATCATATAAATACTTATTCTCCTTCAGTCCTCACAACAACCCTGTGAGGTAAGTATTATACCCATTTCATCCTTTTTCAGACAATGTAGATTATTTAATTTTTCTATCTTTCATTCACTTTTATCCTTCCTCCTATAGAGATTCTGGCAGTTGTATATCTGAAGAGCCTACTTTCACTCAAATATTAATTTAATGGAATAAGTTTCACAGAATCAATGGATAATTGAAATCAGAAACTATTGTCCTTCTGTCTTGGATATACTTTGCGAGGCCTTGATAAAGACCTGGCCTACTAAGTATTCTTACTTGGTTTCCACCTTTCATATTTATTAAACACACATAGTATATCATTCATGTTCCTGACTGACTCTAGGCTCAGTCTCCTTAATCTTATAGGGACCAGGAAGCAAGCCTGATCAACAATATATATTGAATGCTCTTAATCATAAAATGACCTCTCCATCTTCTGGTTAAAAATAGCATAAACAGAGTTCACTTGCCTCAGCATTAGATAAAAGGGGGCCATCTTTCTCTTACCTGTACCCAGGGGAAACTCGGAAATCTTCCTTCGTGGTTCTCCTCTAGCCCTGCATGAAGGGATCATTACTGTGGAACTTTATGTCTTCCCTCCACCTTCTCTTTGAAGGATGACCTTGGTTCACATCTATATCCCTGAGCAAGTAGGACCTTTAATTTTCTTTCTCATCAATTCCTTTTGGGGCTTTCTATTTCCTCATTTGATTCTAATTTCTCTGGACCTTATAATAGTCTAGATAAAAGCATGTTTCAGGAGGAAACTAGCCAGTGGTAGGATGTACCAGCTTATTTTTGCCATACCCCCCTGCAAAAAAATTTTTTTTCAGATTTATAAAACCTCCTTTGCAGTGACATTATCTACCACTTCTACCCTGACTCTTTAGGATTTGGGACAACATAAATGAAACTGTTTTTCTCTACTCTGGTGTGGAGAGTCTCACCCAGCATCATTTCACATATCTAGGAAAATATATAGGGGGAGATCCAGCTCCATGTCCCACTTCTTCCTTTATGTCCCACTAGAAAGTCCGTCCTCTCTTCTTAGAGGAATTCCAAGGGTATATGATCACACATAAATGTTTCTTGCCCCAGGATCTTCAAAGGACGCTGTAGCTGTAGGAGAGGCTCTTTACGCCGATGCCCGCCACAGCTGCATACAGTTCAGGCACCACCAACTCTGGTACCTGCAACACAGCTTTGTCATCTGCAGTTCGAGAGGCAGTTTCTAGGCGTGAGCATACTTCTCTAACTGAAGGGCGTCTGTCCTCTTTCCAGCGCCAACAGGATTTCATAAGACTATACCTGAAAGGGAAATAAGAGAAACTGACTTCCTTGGCCAGGCAAATGTCTGAGGAACATGTCTCCTCACCTAACAAATCTTAACAAAAACAACCCTAAAATTCTTTAATCTACTTCTTATTGTCCTGACTCATATTCTTCCCAGAGATTAACATTCTCTTCTGCTCTTAATGTAAATCTCTTAATATCATCTTCTCAATAGGGCCCTTTAAAATAATAGGAATGACTGAAGATTTCTCAGGGTACAGTCAGTATGACAGAACAGTTCCCACCCCACCCCCATTCTGTTGCCAAAAGCTCAGAAGTTGTGTTCTCATCTTTAGATATTACTAACTTGAAGCATTCCAAACCATTGGTACAACTTATCTACCAATAAAAGGTATATCACAGCCAGGAAAATAAAAAGTCATGGTACAGCATAGAGAGTATAGTCAATAATCCATACTAATAAAAGGGTAATATGCTAATTAGACCAGGTCGACTGGCCATCTTCCGGACATCTGACTTCCTTCCGGACAAAGCCATGGTGGTGGGGGCCAAGGCAGAGGCAGTTAGGGTGATCAGGCCAGCAGGGGAGGGCTATTGGGGGCGAGATCAGGCCTGCAGGGGAGGGAAGTTAGGGGCAATCAGGCAGGCAGGCAGAGGCATTAGGGGTAATCAGGCAGGCAAGCAGAGAGGTTAGGGGCGATCAGGCAGGCAGGCAAAGGGGTTAGGGACAATCAGGCAGGCAGGCAGACAGGTGAGCAATTAGGAGCCAATGGTCCCAGATTGTGAGAGGGATGTCTGACTGCCAGTTTAGGATCCCCCAAGGGGTCCCCGATTGTAGAGGGTGCAGGCTGGGCTGAGGGAACCACCCCCAACCTGGTACACAAATTTCGTACACTGGGCCACTAGTATTGTAATAACTATGTATGGCTCCAAATGGGAACTAGACTTATCAAGGTGATCACTTCCTAAGTTATATAGATGTTCAATCACTATGTTGTACACCTGAAACTAATATATTGTATGTCAACTGTAATTGAAAAATTAAAAAATTATAAAAATATATATAAGAAGTTATGGAATAATATTATTCATCCTAATTTTGGAAAGTGTAATTGGGTTTTTCCTTCCATAAATCCAGATCATTTCCCCCCTTTATAATTTACCTTCTTCAAAAAACTGCCTTAATCTAGAAAAGTATTTACCACCTTTCATCTATCTTTTCTTTAAGAGTTTAGAGAATGTATAATGCTGTCTGTTTTCAAACACTTTCATCATGTCCCATCCCTGCTGAGGAACCTACAGTGGTTTCCCACTACCTACCATATGAAGTAGACATCCTACCCTCTAGCTTCTCTACCACATAGGCCTTGCCTAACTGAAGCCCTCTCCTCCAGCCAAGTCAGTGTCTCACTATGCCATAGATGTGGTTATCAACACCCTACTCTGTCTTTGCACATGCTGTGCCCAACTCCTTGAATATGCTCTCTGTGGTCATCATTTCCTATAGGTTGGTTTTAAATCTCAGTTCCTCTGTGAAGCTTTCCCTTATAAACCTCAGTGCCCTCTGTATTTCCCACACTTGTAAATGTTGAACCGTGAGACTTTGTAAAAGATGCTACTTTAATTATACTGCTAACATTTACCAAGAGCTGACTTATATAAGACATTGGAGTGAAACTTAGCATGCGTTGTTTCATTTTAGCCTCACAATAACTTTGAGGTGGGATTATCATTATACCTATCTCAAAATAAGTAAACAATATAAAGTAAAGTAGCAGGATTAGCACTGAACTTATGTCTTTTTGACTCTGAGATGAATCTGAGCTTTCGGTTTCAGATATCTCCTCATCCAATGTTAAATTCTTCAAGTAGTGATCTTATCAGTTAAGTGTCTCCCCCCAGTATCAAAGAGAGCCTTTTATATATAGAAAGCCTGCAAGAAATATTTGGCAGCAATTTTATTCTAGTATACACAGCCAGTATCACAATACTGTGGATATTTATAATCTATACAGTAAATGATTACTTGGACTTTACCATTTAGTGCTGAAGATTTTACAAAATAGCAAAAATTGTCATGGAAATGTATGTTAGTATATTATATTCTTTCCTGCCTTCTTGTAAATAATTTAACCTTTTTGTATGTCCTATAACTATCCCTTTTTGTACTTTATTAGTCATAAAATTCTGAGTGTAATTTTTATTTTTTCCTTTTTTTTTTTTTTTTTGCACCTACGTGGTTCACCAGTTATCCCATTCTGCTGGCAATATTGGATCCTCCTTCTCCTGTCTTTAAAATTTCCTCCTACTGGTTGACTTCTAATGTGCTCAGAGCTGGGAAAACAAATAGTCAATAATTTTTAAAAGTTAAATAGTAAATAAGAGCCAATGAATAATTCTGGTGCAATGGATTTTATGACAGCTATATTAGAACTAAGGCTGGCAGTCTCTGACTGAGACTGACATTTAGACAAGTAAAACCCTACTGTACTTGCATTGTTTTTGGTCTGCTTCATACCTATTTTGGAAGCTTAGAGGAACTAAACCAAACTTGGATTCCTAACATAGTTCTCAGTGGTTGCCTCAACATGGTGTGTGCGTGTATATACACACACACACACACACACATGTACATATGATATATATGATATATGAGCAGATGTGTTTTCCTGCATAAGTTTGATATAGGGATGTAGATTAGCACATAAAGGACAGCTGGGGATGATCTCTGAAAAGGGCATGATTAATAGGGAGCAATAAAAGATTTGGAATGAGAGAAGAGTAGGCCTTAAAAGCCACTTACATGGTTTGTGTGCAGCTACTGGGTCTCTTCATGATCTTCCCTCTTTGCAGATGCTGTAGAATGCTGATAGGAGGGACTTCAGGATATGGTGGTGCCCCTGTTGGTAGGGAAGGCATGAGAGTAGCAAGAGAACATTAGGTCCTCTAGAATACAAACTATAAATCTGAAGACAACATTTTTATGTTTATGCAAGATCACTCTTGGAATTATCCTTTATCCTTTGGATTTTAAAATATCCTTTGAATTGGTAAAGTGTTGAGGAAAAGAGAAAAAAAATCAAAAAAAAATTAAAAGGAGTAGAAGGATTTCATGTCAGCCCAGTTTAAACCTTAGAGATTCAACTGAAACCCCTTCTCATAGAATATGTCATCCATCACTCAAACCTACTTGCATACAGGTACATACCTAGAGTCACCATCTCATAAAGCAGGATACCAAAGGACCAGCTATAAAAGAAACAAAGTCATTTAATTAATCTCTGTTTTTCCTTTCCTAAAGAGAACTCACTTAAACATCAGAGGCCTTCAGATGTTAAATAAAGAAGGCAAAGTAATGGAACAGAGAGTGTCTGATAAAATAAGCCAAGTAAGAGTGCCATTTGAAAGCATTTCTATCCAGTCCCCTTAGAGTGTAATCCTTTTGAGGACTGGATTCATGTCTACTTTTTTTTCTATATTTCATATTAACAGATATTTACTCTTATTGGCTAAATTATGGGTGTGTTTATGCAAACACATTCTCACCCAAACATAAAGAAATTCCCCTCAGCATATTTTTCATCCTTTCCATTCCTTCCTGCTGAAATTCCAGCCTTTATTTTTAGCCCAAGACCAAGGGAGGGTTATCATTTATCTACTCTTTCCTCAGCATATCTAATTGACCAAACCTAGGAAAAATATTAACAGAACAAGCTTTATACATAGTCGGAATACATATTTCCCTATGCAACATAATTTGAGAGATGTATATTTCACTATTCTATAACACCATCATTCAATGAGTAATGTTTCCCAGTTCAGTGTATTGCTCCCAGACTTCTACTGAGAAGCCGATGTCAGTGGAGCAGCAATGGAAGTCTCTTAATTGACTTACCATATTAACTGACATTTTACATTTTCTCTGCTGCTCATGACATTCATGGTTAGTAAGATAGTCCATCTTACACCTATGTACTTCTCCAAGCAGTTGAGTTATATGGTTATCAAAATTCAATTGTGATTCTTTACAGTCCTATTTATACCAAGCATACATGTAGCTATAATTATGTAATCAATTAAATATTATGCAAGCTAATTAAATATGAATGCAAAAAAATATTAGCTCCATGAAAAGTAGGCTGAATGCTTTGAAAATATTCTATAAAAATAAGCTGCTAAAAAGAAAGTGGTATCAAATTGTGTGGGTGACACAAATGTAAAAAAATTAGGAAAAATAACAATAAATGTCTGCGGTCAAATTGTTTCACAACTGTTTTTTCAAGTTTCTCGCTCAGAATTTAAACTGAAACTCAAAAATAATTTATGACGGATACTATTCATACAAGAAACAACATGTAACATCATTCAGCAGGTCCATCCTCATGAAAAAGGTCTTGACCCTCCTCCAAAGATCAATCAATATATATCCATTTATATGTTTTAGTTAAAATAAATTATTTGAGGCATGTATGTATATTTCTTTTTACTTTAATAATTCCTGGTTTAACTGAACTTTTGATTAAGTGGACCCACGTCCTTCAAATTAAAAGGACTCTACTAGATATCAGTATAAACAATCTTTTCATTTTTCTTTTTGCTTTTCTAAGTAAGTTTGCTAATCTAATACTGAAGGAGTAATTCGAAAGGCATTAAAAAAGATTGCAGCCAGATGCCAAATACGAGCTCTGTCACATAATACATATTTCTGCTTGAGAGTCTGTCTGACTTCTAAGTAAACATAATTGACAACAGACGCTGTCATGGTCAGGGACTAGAGGACACTCAGGTCAAGAAGGGAAGAAATCCCAAGGGCAGGAACAAACCGTACATGTCTCCTCTGATGCTGGCTGGTCTCAGCAGTAGCCTTTCTGGGGCAAGCCACTTGAGGGGCACAGTGCGAGTAGAGGTGATAGCCCCTTGGGTGTGGACTTCATAAGCCAGGCCCAGTCCACAGAGCTTAGCGGTAAGGTCACATTGGATCAGAATATTTCTGGCTGCCACATCCCCATGGAACAGATGTTTATCCTGAAGAAATTCCTATCAATTTAAGATCAAAGGTAGATCAGCTGTCTGAGGTCATGGCTTGGATCACACCCAAGGAGAAGCAGTGCTAGGGATCATCAAAAAGATAAGGACATTTTCTATTCCAAGCAAGTCTCTCTAACATTTTTATATCACTTCCAAGTCATGATAATGGATCAGACATTTTGCAAGTCCAACCAAACATGTTCTAAACTAATATTTCTTGGTTTTTAGGTATAAAATTATTTAGCATTGGCTTCACTCGAGGACATCCCCAGAGTCTCTGTGTGGAGGCAGCAGTGACGTCCCCAGTGTTGACAGTGATAGCAGGGGGGTATGGCATGGACACCCATGGCGCTGGCTGGGGCATCACCACTGGCCTTGACCTTGAAATGGTGCTGCTGGCTGAGGACCTGCTGAAGCCACTGCCCAAGGACAAGCAGATTGAGATGGGGCCCTTCCTCTAGGTGCTGTCCCACCTGCCACCCTTCTTTGATTGCCTTGATTCCACAGTGTTGACACCCATCAAGGCAGACCTAAGTGCCAACATTATGAAAATTAAAGCTGTGATTGACCCTGACTGGCCAAGTTCTGGACCATATAGAATATCCTGAGGACAAAGAAGGAAATGTGTGGAGCAGAGTGGCCCAAAGTGGGGCTAGGCTGGTGCTGATGTGGCTGAAGAGGCCTCCGCTTCATCCAGATCTTCCTCCAGATCTGTGATGGGGAGTGGGCCGAGAACCACCCCAACTTCATCCACATCAATGCCACCAGAGCCTAGGAGATGGCCCTCAAGAAGCATCACAGCTGGATCTTGCAGAAGATCTTCCAGGCAGCACTGTATGCAACACCCCGTAAGTCCGACTTCCTGAAAGCACTAGCCAAGGGCCAGACATGAGGGAGGAGGAGTGCCTGGAGAAGGTCTGCCTTTTCCTGGTCAACTACAGGGCCACCACTGAAATCACCTAGGAGATGTCACCAAGATGAACCCTGGTCTCAATGACAAGGTGTAGTTGTTCCACCCGCCGCCCCACATGTGGCTGCTCATAGAAACAGACAAACCAGAATCACTGCGAATCTAGCTGGCAGGCTGCCCTTGGCCTGCCTCCCCCAGAGCAGCCAGAGTCCGGCTGGTGTCTGCGGAAGACAGCCCTGGTTTCTGAAAAGTCATTTTTGGCCTCTATCCTAATGGAACAATAACTGTCCTACTTCTGAATCACTTTTGAATTTCACAACAGCACAGATGGACTATACCTTCATTTCAGTGTGGTAAAAAGCAATTAATATTGCTAATAAATCAAGACCTAGGGTTTTTTGTCCCCACCCCCGAGATGGTGCATGACTCTGAGGACATATACCTCACGTTAAAAATGAGGATCTGGTGCAGTGACGTTTTGGTTAGTTTAAGGACAAGGAGGAATGTGATTTGAAATTATACAGGACCCCGATTGTGGGAATTTTTTTTTAAAGCAAACTACTGTGTGCTCTCAGGTGGTTGCACAGCCCAGCCTCACAGCACTGTCATTATCGACCCTGCTCTTTCCTACTGTCTTTTTCCAGACAGTTTTTTTACAGTTGAAAACAACCAGCAAGCCTTTGATGACTATGACCAAAGGGACTTTATTTTAAAGCTATCAGGTACAAATAATTGACCAGAGATAACTGAATTTGCATAATGGTTTTCTTCAGGGACAGCCTTTCCAACCTAAGAAAGCACCTACTATGTATATTCTCTCAAGGGGAAGACCATGAGCCCTCCAGATGCTGAGACCCAAGGAAACACCTCGCTGCCTTAACTGTCCCTCCTGGTGCTAACAAGAGCTGTATTTTTAAAAGTGTTGGGGTGAATAGAAGAATCCCGAAAGAACGGATGTGTGTTAAAAACCCAATGAGGCCCTAACCGGTTTGGCTCAGTGGATAGAGCATCGGCCTGCGGACTCAAGGATCCTGGGTTCGATTCCGGTCAAGGGCATGTACATTGGTTACAGGCACATACCCAGTAGGGAGTGTGCAGGAGGCAGCTGATCGATGTTTCTCTCTCATCGATGTTTCTAACTCTCTATCCCTCTCCCTTCCTCTCTGTAAAAACAAACAAACAAACAAACAAACAAAAACAAAAAAACAATGAGGAACAATTGGTGATTTTTATACGGAAACTAAATAATTCTTAGTAAATAAATATCTATTTTGTGGGGGGAAAGTGTTTAAGATTACCAAACTGAGCAAATAATCCAAATAACATTAATACTGGGTTTAATGCCAACAAGGCATTTGAGAACCATTGCACCAGGGTGACATTGGTTTGCTGGAATCATCTGCCCCAATAACAAGGTATTCAAGGCTTATGAAGAAGTTGAAAAAATACATGACCGAAAAGCTGGAGATTGAGGTATATCACTATCAAACGAGATGGTATGAAAAAATAAAACATTAAGGTGGTAATTCCCAATCATTGATGATGAAGGAAATAGTGACTAGCAATTGTTCTGTCTTTGGTGGAGTTTTATTTCTTTTCCATAGTCACTTACCCCGCCCCGCTGTATCATTTTCCACCTCCATCTACCCCCTACCCCCTCTCTGGTAGAGTTTTAGAACAAATAAGTTAAACTATAATGACAAGAATTAAAGAATGTAGTAACTTTGAGATTGTGAAAAGTAATTTTTATTATCTTATAACTGGTAACCTAGAGCCCTGATGAATGCAGCCATAGAATCAATGCATCTCACTGGGGCACCTCTGCAATTATGGCTTAGAATACAAGGTAGGCTGTATCCTGACACCCTAATTTTATCAAGGAACTATACCAACTAGGCCCTCCAAAACCAGAGATAATATTCATTAATGTGATGTTCTCTCTCCCCTGCCCCATAGGAACTTCAATTTTAACTCTGCTCTTTTTTCATCTCACTACTTTTTTTCTAAGCTTTCCCTTATTCCATTTAGATACCTGGTATATTTCACACATCTGGATGGCAAGATACATTAAAAAAAAACTGAAAGTGGAAGCTTCACAGAGCCTGGTTTTCTATAACAAATGCTAATTTAAATAAAATTATTTAAATAATTTCATAGACATAGTCATCTAAATTTCCCTGAGTAATTATGGTAAAGATAAATTTTTTCTCTTAAACCCTGAGTTCTTTCTCTTACCTGTTTTTTAAATTCTTTATTATTATGTATTAATTTTTAAAATATTTATTGTCTCACCTCTTTGAGTTGGTTTAAAATAAAGGAATGATCTCATTATTGTCCCCTTTTTATTCCTCCTCTTCCACTTGTTCCTTCTTTTTAAAGTATATGTATTTCCTATCACATTCAGTATCAAAGCAAGTCTCCAACAAAACATGTTCTGAACTAGTATTTCTTGTTTTTCAGGTATAAAATGGTATACTTCTTTCTGGTTCTGTAGCCTTTTACCCATTCAGTTTAATCTTCTCATTTCTTCTCCCAATTTGCTTCCCTATTTTCCCCTTTTACATCTATTAATATTAGTATATACGGGGAAATAAAAGTATTAAGCAACCGGACATAAAGCTCTTAGCCCTGGCTTTTGAATTCTGAGAAATCCTTTAAAACCCTTACTGTTATGTTTAAAAACCCTAAATTCACTAATTTCTGCCCAGAATTACCAGTCCTGTAGTATATAATCTAAATTCTTTCATAAAGAACTGAAAATAATTTTTCAGTGCTTGAGTTTCTGCCCCCTAACTTCCATCTGATTTTCTTTATAATGTATACCCTTTAGAAATATAAATATTAAAAAATATGACATCAAATACCAAGTTAACAAGAAAATCCCTACTATCTGTTATCATTTTGCTCAGCTTACCAAAGCCAAGAGAACCTGCTTCCCAATGTGATATACTTGTTTTTCAGTGAGATCATAGAGAAGGCCATCCATGGTCATCACATCCTACAGAGACAGAAAAAAAGCATTATGTCAAAATGACATGAACAGATTTGAAAAAAATATATGAGCAGAGATATTCTTAAATGCAGATAGCAAAGCTAAGAAAACAAACATAGAACTGTAAGATTCAAGGATAGAATGATATTAGAGATTCTCAAATATGAAGAGAAATACAATGATTTATTGGACTGGAAAAAAATAATAAAGAATGTAGATAAATAGAAGAATGAAGGAAGAACAGAATAGCAGGTAAGAAAGACAATGGATAAAGCATCAATTTTCGTGTGTGTGTGTGTGTGTGTGTGTGTGTGTGTGTGGTTAATTAAGCATATTAACTCAACACATTTTTATTGAATGCCTACTATGTGCCAGATTTCATCTTAGGGACACAGCATATAAGAGTGAACAAAATAAACATGTCTGTTGCCTTCTGGAGTTTATAGCATGGCAAACACATATGAATCAGAATAAAATAATCATATATAAATGTGTAATTACATATCTATAAGCACCATGAAGGAAATGTAAAAGAAAGCATATGATGGTGGGGGAAAGAGAGCTGATTCAGTTGGGGGACAAGGACATTTTTTTATGAAATCTGAAGGATGAGTGGCCATTGACTACGCAAAGAAGGGAGAAGTTTGGTGTAATGAGAAAAGCATGGGAGGTGATCTAAAATAGAGAAGCAGAGCAATTTTGAAAAACAAAAGAGCTAGTGAGGTTAGAGCATAAAACAAGTTACATTTGGATAAGTTCTTTAAATGGTTTTAAATACCTAGAGACCTGCACATTGTCCTATTTGTATTCACTGGATGAAAGATGCCACCAGGGTCCTTTTTCATACACATTTAGTAGTAAAATAAGCACATTGAGGAGGCTTATTTAATATTGAACTTGCTCATTGGCAAGTAAAGAACTAACCACGGAAACGTATAGTGCTTGAGAAAGAGGAATACATAGACAAGTAGGAAAACTAAAGAAAATGGTTTGCACTTTAGTCTGGAAATTAATTTTTTAAAATATGAGTTTGAGGTTCAAAAACTTACAAGCTGAATTTCTCCTCAACTCAGCCCTGGCATACTAGGATGATGTTATGGAATGTTATGGAAAACACACTTAACAATAACAACAACAAAATTACAATCAGTGCTAGACAGTTATGTTGTTATGCAATTATCGCTATTAACAGCTACCATTTTGAGTGTTTGCTATATACCAATCACTGCTGTGTTTTTATATACATAATTTCTTTTATTATTACTCCCATTTTACAGATTCAGATTCAGAAAACTCAGGCTGAGAGAGGTGGCTTGCCCAAATTCACATAGCTGGTAGGAAGTGGAACCTAAAGTCCATACTCTAAATCCCCAATACCCAATATGGTAGCCATTGGACACCTGTGGCTATTTACATGTGTATCACTTTAAATGAAATAAAACTAAAAATTCAGTTTCTCAGTCACATCAGTCACATTTCAAGTGTTCCATAGCCATACGTGATTAGGGGCTACCATATTGGACAGGGCAGATATAAAACATAGCTATCATAAAACGTTCCATTGGATGGTGATACTCAATCACTCTGTTATGCTATTATAATGTCTCTTTACTTTGTCACATGTCAGGCTCATTGCCATGTGAACAGCTAATCAGCCAGGTAAAGCCTTTCCTTTCTAACACGTCTACCCTACCGCTCACCCGGCGACAGGTCCAGAGAAAGCTGAGCAGGTCCCCCTGGGCGACATCCTCCAACACCATATAGAGCGGCTCTCTTTCTGTGCAGCAGCCTTCCAGCTGTACCAGATTTTGGTGCTTCCCCAGGTACTGATAGAATTCGATTCGCCCTAAGAAATCCTGTATCTCATGGAGCCTGGCTGGTTCTGTGGAGAACAGAAGAGCCATGGGCAGTGGTCACAACATTTCAGAGAAAATGGGAAGTTTGCGGCAGGAAGCAACCTGAGATGATAATTCTCAAGGATCTAAAGGGGAGTGACTATAGACAAAAAGTAAACAGAAAGGGAATCAATTAGACGATGATTCTCACTGATCTTTTGTCAAAGGTAACAGAATTACAGGTATTACAACTAGGTAGGCTTTCATCTCCCTAAATGGGCAAGTGTGTTCACATTAAAATGTTATCACAGTCTAGGCCTTTGGATTAATAATTTTGTTTATTCTATCCTTGTTCTATGCATCCACCATTACGTGTCCATATTATGAGCATCAGGAAAAAAAAAGGAATAAAGAAAATAAATACAGTGCTGTCAGGGTAAGAGATATAGTGGAGAAAAATGAAGAATCAACCTCAACATCTTCATCCAAGTAACAGTCTTGATAGGCAAGGTTGAGCTATGGGAAAGAAAGGCCCCAAGAAAACATGTCTTGGGTTTTCACTTTCTAATCCCTTCTTGAGTTTGAGGTACAAAAGCTTGAAAGCTGAATTTCTTCTCAACTCACCTCTTCTTCTTCTGCACACAATTGTGATCACAACTATCTATTGATTAACATCTCAATGTCTGCAAAGCCCATTAACATTTACTGTTAGGGGTGCTCACAGGAGAAAGTTAAAAAGGGAAATAAGAAGTCTAACACTTCTCCTTTTACCTTTTAAAACCTTGAGGACAATGTCCTTGGACTTAGCTGGGTCCCCAGGGTACAACTTGGTTCGATAGATGGCCCCACAACTACCATTGTAGATCCACTCCAGAACTTCAGAGAGTTGCTCCCGGGGTATCTGCAGCTTAGCCAGGGCATGTGTGGATGTTTGTAGAAGGCTTTCCACTGATGTCTCCTTAAGTGGAACAAATACACTTCCTTCATGTCCTCCTGCTTCCCCGTTTTGGCCCCTAAATGGAGGCACAGGAGCAATGCCTAGAACAAAGAGATGATACCAACCAGCTTTTTCCTACCCTCCAAACTCCAGGAAAGCAGAGCTTGGAACAAACTGGAAAGAAAGTTCCTTTAATAATTTTTTTGCCACCCATTGTGGGGATATTTTCTGATGCTTCTCTGTGAACCAGCATCAATATCAACCTTTAGAACTTTTATAGTAATTCTATTACTTCTAAGACAACCCAGATGTCCTCTTGAAAGTGGTAATGGCATTTCTTTTCTGTGTTTCTCAGGATCACAGTTCAATATAAATGTAATATGGAGACAATTGAGGAAGTTCCTGAATAGGTATTAAAACCACAGATACCTAACCCAGCTGGTGTTGCTCAGTGGTTAAGCATCAATCCATGAACCAGGAGGTCACCATTAGATTCCCAGTCAGGGCACATGCCCCAATTGCAAGTTCCATCCCCAGTGTGAGGCATGCAGGAGGTAGCCAATTGATGATTATCAATTGATGTTTTTATCTCTCTCTCCCTCTCCCTTCCTCTCTCTGAAGTCAATAAAAAACATATTTAAAACCACAGATACCTAAAGGTGGTGGTAACTGCCAGTGGGGAATATCATTTAAGTCAATCAAATGGCTCCCAAAGGTAAAGGGGAGGTATGAATAACTACTTAACTCTAAGTTATGGCTATTCTTCCACCTTCATATTGTGCCCAGGGTCATGTTATTCCATACTTCTTAGTTTTATTCAAAAAGTATTCTGGTACTTTCTCCCTTCCTTAGTCAACTTTTCTCTATTGGAATAGAGAGATACATTCTTTGTATTAAATCTTTATTCATTCATTCATTCATTCATTCATTCAACAAATATCACCTCCTACATGCCAAGCACTGTTGTAGCTTTGGGATAAAGTCCAGATTCTTATGAAGATTATTATCTAGTGGTAGGAGAGAGGAAGCAGATAATAACATACCAGGTTTTGAGTGCTATGGAGAAAACAGAGCCTCAAGGAGTCTGTTTCATGTTTAAAGGTCAGAAAAGGCCTTTGTGATGATGTATGTGAAATAACCTGGAAGCAATAAGAGAGTAAACTATATCCCAGTATCAGGAAGGGTATTATAGACAAAGGGATCAGGAAGTACAAAGGTATTGAAGAAGGAGCATATGGCATACTGGAGGAAGAGGAATGAAGTCAGTGCAGCGAAATCAAGTGGAATAACTGGAGAATTATAGGAGAAAAGGCCAGAGAGGGCCCAGATCATGTAGGACTATTGAAAGAATTTTGTCTTTTTTCATTCTAAGATGGGAAGCTATTGGGGAGTTTCCAAGCAGAGAATTGACTGGACTGACTTACACTGTAAAAGAATCATTCTGCTACTCCGACGAGAATACACCATAAAGGGATACGATTAGAAGCAAGGAAACCAGTTAGGCATGTATTACAATGGTCTATGAGAGGTGAGAGTGGTATAAGTTATTTTGAAGATAGAGTTAAAGGAATTACTAATGGACTGGATGAAAACCTTTAATATTTTAGACTGAACGCGGAGAAATCTGGGATTGCCTTTTACTAAGATAGGGGAAGACTATTGGCAGAGGATATTTTGTGAGGGAATTTCAGAACCTTTGCTTTGGACATATTACATCTGAGATGTGTATTAGAGTCCAACTGCAAGATGGGTGATTTGATATACGAATCCGGATTCAAGGGGGACTATAATTAAATAGAGAAAGCATTTGAATCTATAGACTTAAAATTAGATCATTTAGAAAGTGACTGGAGATTTAAAGAAAAAAAGTGTTTCAAGAAGACAGGAGTACAAAATTGTTTCAAATGTTTTCAGCAGGTCAAATAAGATGAGGACTCAACACAGCAGTCACTGGTGATCTTGGAAAGAGTTGTTTTGGTGGAGTGGTGTGGTTGAAAGCCATATTTTCGTATATTCAAAAGAGAATGCAACAAGTGTTAGTGAGAGTGAGTTTAGGATTTTTTGTTTTATTTTTGGTTAAAATATCCTCACCCAAGGATATTTTTCCCATTGATTTTTAGAGAAAAAGGAGGTTTGGAGGGAGAGGGGGGGAGAGAGAAACATCAATGAAGGGGGACACACATCGATTGGTTGCCTCCCACATGCACCCTGACTGAGGTCAGGGATTGAACCTGCAACCCAGGTATATGTCCTTGACTAGGAATCAAACTCACAACCCTTTGGTGTGCGGGCTGACACTCTATCCACTGAGCAGCAACAGCCAGGGCAATATATGGTAGGGTTTTTTGTATGTTTTCTATTGATTTCACAGAGAGAGAGAAACATCAATGATGAGAGAGAGAATCATTTTGCAGCTGCCTCCTGTAGGCCCCCTATTGGGGATTGAGCCCGCAAACTGGGCATGTGCCCTGACTGGGAATTGAAGGGTAACTGGCCTTCTCGAGAGTGAACTCAAACAATTTCTTTGAAAAGGTTTTCTACAAGAATGAATTATAAGAGCCTTGGGGTAAAATTTGGAGCGGGATTAGGGACCAGCCACTATGAAGTTTCATATTGCTGTCAGATTTTCCCCTTATTTTTACTCTTAGTTTCATGTACTAGCTGATTATTTTTCATTATATGCTCAGTGGTACTCCAGAACTGCATGATATCATCTCCTGCCTAGCACTTCAAAGACTATTGTGAAAGCTACCCCTTTTCATCATATATTCCAGGGGCACAGAGTAGGGCTGGAATGTATAAGAGAGTAAGATGTCATCCTTCAAAGCTGGTAACAAAACCTACTAGGTTTTTCTCCCAGATCCTTAGACATTCATGTGGTCATTTGATAGTGCAATAACCAGGGGTGGGCAAACTTTTTGACTCGAGGGCCACAATGGGTTCTTAAACTGGACCGGAGGACCGGAACAAAAGCATGGATGGAGTGTTTGTGTGAACTAATATAAATTCAAAGTAAACATCATTACATAAAAGGGTACGGTCTTTTTTTTTTTAGTTTTATTCATTTCAAACGGGCCGGATCCGGCCCGTGGGCCGTAGTTTGCCCACGGCTGAATAAGACCAAGAGGACGGAAACAGTTCACATGAGGCCTCTCTTGCCTGTTCTGCTTTCAGCTAACAAGCATATGTGGAGTTTCTACTCGTGAGTCCTCTACTTCCTCCTGTCTCTCAACTCCACAGGAGGGGACCCGGCCTCCTTTTCCATTGCAGGAACCGAGACCTCTAGACTTGGACCCATTGAGACTTGGGTTTTATTTTTCTGCAATCTCTATCTTCCCTGAGCTTCTGTCCAGCCCCAGTTTTAGCTTTACCTTGGAGTCCAGGAGACTGTTGTTGAGCTCTTTTTTCTCTGATAAAAAGCCACAGGATGACCCCAAGAATGATGAGGGTGGCACCAACCAGAAAGGCTGGGATGATGATGATTTCATACTGCTGGTGCCAGACAACTGGGTAGGAAATTAAACAGAAAGAAAAGAGATTAAAGAAAAAGCCTAGCCTGATGTCTACACAAGTTCCCCTACCCACCAGTCCTCAGCTCATCAGACATAAATGGTGATCTCTTTCTTCCACTCCACTTTCTCAATGGAAACCCTATTGGGAGCAACTCTCTCATCAGAACCGCCCATGTCCCTCTTTCTTAGCCCAGCAAGTGTGCTCTGTGCCTCTTCTCTTATTTTTCCTACTGAGATGAAGAATGCAGCATCTGCATCTCTGATTGGCCCTTGCCTTTTTTTTTTAAACAATGGCCCCTATTGTCCATTTCTTTATCAATACCGTCTTCATTTCTACTACAAATCAAATTATTCTCCTCCTAGAATCTATCCAGATTTTGTCTTCATTATTCTAAGAGAAGAATATAAACATGTGTACTTACTACACAATTTGTCACTGAGACTGCATTCCTTTAGCATTTGTGTCATGGCCTTCTCCTCTCCCATTGCCACACAGCTGTCCACTCCTACGCTTGATCCACAGAGAATGCACAGAACATGGCTGAGAATAATTCACAAGGATTGAGTCGTTCTGAAATAAATAAAATGGAGCACACAGAGAACTTTAAAACAGATCACTAGATATTAAATACATGGCTACCTGGAACTCTCTGAGCCATACATTCATCTCTGTCAGTGTCCCTGATATTCAGGCAGGAAGAATTTAATTCTTTTATTTTATTTATTTATTTTTATACAGATGGGGGAAGGCGAGAAAGAGAGAGAGAGAGAGAGAGAGAGAAGACATTGATTTGACGTTCCACTTATTTGTGCATTCATTGGTAGATTCTTGTGTGCGCAGGGACCTCAATCTTGGCATATGGGGACAACACTCTAACCAACTGAGCTATCCAGCCAGAGCAAGAATTTTATTCTTTTCCCAGCATTGTTCTCTTTTATATACCAAGTACAACGCTGATCTCTTACCTTTTCATGTCATTGTTTCTCAAAATGTTTTTGAAGGCTCCCTTCCTACCCAAGACCCTGCTCCAGTGCTCAAGTACATGAGTTATGAGGGGAAGATCTACCTCCTCTATAGTCCTCAAGCAGGTCTAATGTTCTTTTTCATTTAATTTTAAAATAAAATACAGGGTGTGGCAAAAGTAGGTTTACAATTGTTCATATGGAAAATGATACAATAATTAATAAATAACAGTACAAGAATAAACTGTGTTTTGTGTACTCAAAACTGTAAACCTACCTTTGCCCCACCCTGTATTTCACTTCATTTTTATACAATGCTAATGAAGGCAATGAATAAACAGTTAGCAGATTTCAAGAGAGAAGAGTTGTGCATTTGCTTTCCTTCACAACCAATGAACAATCAGCATTTATCAATAAAAGCTATTCAATTCTGCAACTCTCCAAGCTCCAAAGAGCTTCCCCTGCCCACCATATGCAGATAAACACAGACATTCATTCTTATATAGATTCAAGAGAGTGTCAGTATGAAGCCAACTTCTCTTTCTTTCCCTTTTAAACAAAAAGGAAATATATCTCCATTGTTCAAAAGTAAAAATATAAAATAATATAACATAAAAATCTTTCTCTCAACTCATCCTTCTCCATTTGTACAGTTCCCAGTTCTCCTCCAAGTACATCATAGTTACAATAGAGATTCTTCATGTGAATCACTTTTAATTCTGTATAACAAGTATATATTTGAAATGACTCCTCCAGTATCCTGGATCTTTCTTTCTGAAAAGAACTGGCAGTTACCACCCTCCCATATATCTACAAACTTTATTTTTGTTAACAAGAATCTCCCCTGGCTCTATGGTCGGCAAAGCCTTCTTATTTAATTCTGATTGATATGAAAGAAAATATGCTTATTTTCCACTGTTTAGGTAATCCTAAGTGTGTGGTCTACTTTTGTAGTCATTTGATAACAAGGCAGAATTTTAAAAACTAGAATTGTAGCCCTAACTGGTTTGGCTCAGTGGATAGAGTTTCAGCCTGCGGACTGAAGGGTCCCAGGTTCGATTCCGGTCAAGGGCATGTACCTTGGTTGTGGGCACATCCCCAGTGGGGGGTGTGCAGGAGGCAGCTGATCAATGTTTCTCTCTCATCGATGTTTCTAACTCTCTATCCCTCTCCCCTCCTCTCTGTAAAAAATCAATAAAATATATTTTTTTAAAAAACTAGAATTGTAGCTTATATGATATTATACATGTTACATTAGCCTAATTACATGTTGTTTTATTATTGATATTAATAACCACAGTGCTATCTACTAAGGCAGAGTCTTTTAGGTAAAGAAGTTTCTCAGCTCCAGCCAAACCACCTTTTCACTATTCCTGCAGCCCCGTGACCTTGTATGGGGGGATGACAGTTAAACAATTTCCTTATAACTTATAAAACAGACAGGTGTGCCCTAACCAGTTTGGCTCAGTGGATAGAGCGTCAGCCTGCAGACTGAAGGTTCCAGGTTCAATTCCGGTCAAGGGCATGTACCTTGGTTGAGGGCACATCCCCAGAAGGGGGTGTGCAAGAGGCAGCTGATCGATGTTCCTCTCTCACCGATGTTTCTCTCTATCCCTCTCCCTTCCTCTCTGTAAAAAAAATCAATAAAATATATATATTTTTAAAAAAAGACAGACAGGTGTGTAGCTGGTTGACAGAAGCCCAGGTAAACAGAGGAGTAACCCACAGAAGAAAATTGGCAGAGAAGAAAAGTAAATTATTACCCGTGGGTTTGTATATAACAAGGGATCTGTGAAGTCAATGAGTAATAAGACAGCAAAGTCCATCTCATTGAGTTTGTAAGCCCAAAAGGCAAGGTGAAAGGTAGTTGAGAAAGTTTCCACAATTCCATAAGACCACATGGAAGGAAAAATATAAAAAAAATAGGGCAAAAAATAGAGAGCCTTGTGAGGATGAAATGAAGAAGAAGTTCTTAAAAATGAACATGTTCAACCAGGAAAATTCAAAAGCTATTTGAAAATTTCTCACTGCCATTCTCATTCTTATTTCCCTTGCCTCTTACTTCCTTTTCAGTGCATTATCAAAAGTAATTATTTTCATTCAGGGAGCAGCCAGTTTAGTGAGTTTGGCTCTCTGAGGAATAGCTTTTGTGAGCATAATCTGTCTTACCAGAGTACAAGCGAAAGATAGGTCAGTCAGCAGCCAGTTCAAACGCACGTACTCTGCCCAGAAACCAAACACACCCACTAATACATACTGAAGGAAGCTATTTAAAGCCCAGTGTGCACACATATCTCCACACAGAACTGCTCATGGTGGGCCACTCTCAACTATAGGCACATGGCCCAACATACCTACACCCAAAGTCTCACACTCATGTTTCTACCCCTGTACCTGGAGCACATGCATTACAGAGCACCCACCTTTGGATACAATATGCATTTACTGAAAAACATTCTCAACCTCACTTTTATTTGTGCATAGGTAGTTTAAAGAGGTTAGTCCTTTTTAAAAAATTTTGTTGTGGTTAAATTTCTTTAATTTCCAGAATGATGTTTATATGATACAGAAAAGCAGCCCAGTCACCACATACTTAGCTACAATTCCAGTATTTATACTTGACAACTGGTATTCTAATCCAGAGATTAGGTTTAGATTTCACAATTACAAAAAGCAGAACATCAGCATCTTCCTCATAGAACATCCACCAAGAGAGCAATTGAAAGGCTGTGGTTATTGATAAAATGCTTTAACCAAAAATTATACTGAAAAGAGATTCCTCAACAAGCCATCAAAATCACAGCCAAGGAGACACACTATATTAGCAACATAGCAGCATCCAATAGGTAATAGTCAAACCAAGCTTTAGTTCATACTTTGCCAGAGATAGAGCTTGGGAGACTGGGGGCATAGGTCTAGGACAGTGATGGTGAACCTATGACACGCGTGTCAGAGGTGACACACGAACTCATTTTTTTGGTTGATTTTTCTTTGTTAAGTGGCATTTAAATATATAAAATATCAAAAATATAAGTCTTTGTTTTACTATGGTTGCAAATATCAAAAAATTTCTATATGTGAATCGGCACCAGAGTTAAGTTAGGGTTTTTCTTTTTTTTTTTTTTTCTTTTACTAAATCTTTATTGTTCAGATTATTACATTTGTTCCTCTTTTTTTCCCCCCATAGCTCCCCTCCACCCAGTTCCCACCCCACCCTCTGCCCTTACCCTCCCACTGTCCTCATCCCTAGGTGCACAATTTTTGTCCAGTCTCTTCCCGCATCTCCCACACCCCTTTCCCCACCAAGAATAATGAGTCCATTCCCTTTCTATGTCCCTGATTCTATTATAATCACCAGTTCATTCTGTTCATCAGATTATTTATTCACTTGATTCTTAGATTCACTTGTTGATAGATGCATATTTGTTGTTCATAATTAGTATCTTTACATTTTCTTCTTCTTCCTCTTCTTAAAGGATACCTTTCAGCATTTCATATAATACTGGTTTGGTGGTGATGAACTCCTTTAGCTTTTCCTTATCTGTGAAGCTCTTTATCTGACCTTCAATTCTGAATGATAGCTTTGCTGGATAAAGTAATCTTGGTTGTAGGTTCTTGGTATTCATCACTTTGACTATTTCTTGCCATTCCCTTCTGGCCTGCAAAGTTTCTGCTGAGAAATCAGCTGACAGTCATATGGGTAGTCCCTTGTAGGTAACTGAGTTTCTTTGTCTTGCTGCTTTTAAGATTCTCTCTTTGTCTTTTGCTCTTGGCATTTTAATTATGATGTGTCTTGGTGTGGTCCTCTTTGGATTCCTTTTGTTTGGGGTTCTCTGAGCTTCCTGGACTTGGAAGTCTATTTCTTTCACCAGGTAGGGGAAGTTTTCTGTCATTATTTCTTCAAATAGGTTTTCAATATCTTGCTCTCTCTCATCTTCTGGCACCCCTATAATTCTGATGTTGGTAGGCTTGAAGCTGTCCCAGAGGCTCCTTACACTATCTTCGTATTTTCGGATTCTTTTTTCATTTTGCTTTTCTGGTTGGGTGTTTTTTGCTTCTTCGCATTTCAAATCTTTGCCTTGATTCTTGTGCTCCTCTGGTCTGCTGTTGGGAGTCTGTATAATATTCGTTATTTCAGTCCGTGCATGCTTAATTTCTAGTTGGTTCTTTATCATAACATCGAGGGTCTCATTAGATTTCTGGAGAATCTCAGTAACTTTATCGGCAGCTTCTAGACAGTTCTTGAGAGACCTTAAAAGTGTGGTTCTGAACTCAATATCCTCCATTGACAGTTTTGTCCTGTTTCTTTGTCTCCGCATTTTTTATGCTTTCTTGGTGCACCCCCTAGTGGTCTTTGTGCGCAGTCTTGTTGTAGTTAAGCCTTGATTGTTGTAGCTAATACTGGGGGGATTTGACCTCCAGGCCAACTGGCTGTGAGAATCAGCTGTGTCTGCAGTGGGAAAACTTCTGTCCTCTAGGGAGGTGCTAATCTAGCCTTTGCCTGAGGCTATCCGGCAAATGGCTCTGTGCAGGGCTTGGGCGGGGCGGGTGCCAGGGGATCAACAGAGCGGGCGGAGGGAGCAGTTATGGTTGCTCTCAGTCCCGTCC